GATAACAAACCACATAACAAATATCATAATAGACAGATAGCAAACCACATAACAAATATCATAATAGAGGGATAACAAACCACCTAACAAATATCATAATAGACAGATAACAAACCACCTAACAAATATCATAATAGACAGATAGCAAACCACCTAACAAATATCATAATAGAGGGGTAACAAACCACATAACAAATATCATAATAGAGGGATAACAAACCTCACAACAAATATCATAATAGACAGATCGCAAACCACCTAACAAATATCATAATAGAGGGGTAACAAACCACATAACAAATATCATAATAGAGGGATAACAAACCTCACAACAAATATCATAATAGACAGATCGCAAACCACCTAACAAATATCATAATAGAGGGGTAACAAACCACATAACAAATATCATAATAGCACACAATAATTTACATTATAATACAAAAAGGCAGATATAAGGTTAAAAATGCGATACCTAACCTGGTTACAGTAATAGCAAGGGTTGCTTGAATGATGTAATGTACAATCAAGTGACTTCATCAATAAGAGGGAGGGCTTGCTAAAAATGTGGGAATTAATATTCAGTGTTCACTGCACAATCTAAGATAGTAGTCTACACATATAAAGATAAACAGTTCTATGTATTAGAATAAATAAAATAGTTACTAATTAAATGTAATACATGTAGATGGAAACGATGTTAATCATAGAATATAGAATAGTTTCAGTATTAGGAAGATAAAATGATAAAACTTCAGATCATTTCTGTTATTTATGAATAATGCAACATGTGACCACACTCTAGGAATCATCCTAGTACAAGGTAAGTCTCATCAACCATGTGACCACACTCTAGGAATCATCGTAGTACAAGGTAAGTCTCATCAACCATGTGACCACACTCTAGGAATCATCGTAGTACAAGGTAAGTCTCATCAACCATGTGACCACACTCTAGGAATCATCGTAGTACAAGGTAAGTCTCATCAACCATGTGACCACACTCTAGGAATCATCGTAGTACAAGGTAAGTCTCATCAACCATGTGACCACACTCTAGGAATCATCGTAGTACAAGGTAAGTCTCATCAACCATGTGACCACACTCTAGGAATCATCGTAGTACAAGGTAAGTCTCATCAACCATGTGACCACACTCTAGGAATCATCGTAGTACAAGGTAAGTCTCATCAACCATGTGACCACACTCTAGGAATCATCGTAGTACAAGGTAAGTCTCATCAACCATGTGACCACACTCTAGGAATCATCGTAGTACAAGGTAAGTCTCATCAACCATGTGACCACACTCTAGGAATCATCGTAGTACAAGGTAAGTCTCATCAACCATGTGACCACACTCTAGGAATCATCGTAGTACAAGGTAAGTCTCATCAACCATGTGACCACACTCTAGGAATCATCGTAGTACAAGGTAAGTCTCATCAACCATGTGACCACACTCTAGGAATCATCGTAGTACAAGGTAAGTCTCATCAACCATGTGACCACACTCTAGGAATCATCGTAGTACAAGGTAAGTCTCATCAACCATGTGACCACACTCTAGGAATCATCGTAGTACAAGGTAAGTCTCATCAACCATGTGACCACACTCTAGGAATCATCGTAGTACAAGGTAAGTCTCATCAACCATGTGACCACACTCTAGGAATCATCGTAGTACAAGGTAAGTCTCATCAACCATGTGACCACACTCTAGGAATCATCGTAGTACAAGGTAAGTCTCATCAACCATGTGACCACACTCTAGGAATCATCGTAGTACAAGGTAAGTCTCATCAACCATGTGACCACACTCTAGGAATCATCGTAGTACAAGGTAAGTCTCATCAACCATGTGACCACACTCTAGGAATCATCGTAGTACAAGGTAAGTCTCATCAACCATGTGACCACACTCTAGGAATCATCGTAGTACAAGGTAAGTCTCATCAACCATGTGACCACACTCTAGGAATCATCGTAGTACAAGGTAAGTCTCATCAACCATGTGACCACACTCTAGGAATCATCGTAGTACAAGGTAAGTCTCATCAACCATGTGACCACACTCTAGGAATCATCGTAGTACAAGGTAAGTCTCATCAACCATGTGACCACACTCTAGGAATCATCGTAGTACAAGGTAAGTCTCATCAACCATGTGACCACACTCTAGGAATCATCGTAGTACAAGGTAAGTCTCATCAACCATGTGACCACACTCTAGGAATCATCGTAGTACAAGGTAAGTCTCATCAACCATGTGACCACACTCTAGGAATCATCGTAGTACAAGGTAAGTCTCATCAACCATGTGACCACACTCTAGGAATCATCGTAGTACAAGGTAAGTCTCATCAACCATGTGACCACACTCTAGGAATCATCGTAGTACAAGGTAAGTCTCATCAACCATGTGACCACACTCTAGGAATCATCGTAGTACAAGGTAAGTCTCATCAACCATGTGACCACACTCTAGGAATCATCGTAGTACAAGGTAAGTCTCATCAACCATGTGACCACACTCTAGGAATCATCGTAGTACAAGGTAAGTCTCATCAACCATGTGACCACACTCTAGGAATCATCGTAGTACAAGGTAAGTCTCATCAACCATGTGACCACACTCTAGGAATCATCGTAGTACAAGGTAAGTCTCATCAACCATGTGACCACACTCTAGGAATCATCGTAGTACAAGGTAAGTCTCATCAACCATGTGACCACACTCTAGGAATCATCGTAGTACAAGGTAAGTCTCATCAACCATGTGACCACACTCTAGGAATCATCGTAGTACAAGGTAAGTCTCATCAACCATGTGACCACACTCTAGGAATCATCGTAGTACAAGGTAAGTCTCATCAACCATGTGACCACACTCTAGGAATCATCGTAGTACAAGGTAAGTCTCATCAACCATGTGACCACACTCTAGGAATCATCGTAGTACAAGGTAAGTCTCATCAACCATGTGACCACACTCTAGGAATCATCGTAGTACAAGGTAAGTCTCATCAACCATGTGACCACACTCTAGGAATCATCGTAGTACAAGGTAAGTCTCATCAACCATGTGACCACACTCTAGGAATCATCGTAGTACAAGGTAAGTCTCATCAACTATGTGACCACACTCTAGGAATCATCCTAGTACAAGGTAAGTCTCATCAACCATGTGACGACCCTCTAGGAATCATCGTAGTACAAGGTAAGTCTCATCAACTATGTGACCACACTCTAGGAATCATCGTAGTACAAGGTAAGTCTCATCAACCATGTGACGACCCTCTAGGAATCATCGTAGTACAAGGTAAGTCTCATCAACCATGTGACGACCCTCTAGGAATCGTCCTAGTACAAGGTAAGTCTCATCGGCATTGTCTTTCCCTATCAAGGTCTGGATGAATGATGCAAGCTTTGACGTTCTGTAAGAATAGGACAGGTATGATAGATCTATCTTTGTGGGAGAAAATCAAATTAATAGGCACTTATTTTCCAATAGTTTTGTCACACTATAGCTTATATTATTGTGTTTTGTGCAGAAAGAAGAGGAGGAGGAATCTGAAGTGGACCTAGATGACTTGGACATGCCCATCAGACTACAGGTACTCGGGGATACTAGGAATAGTTTGTACATTCCACCATTAAGTTGGCAGTGTGGTCTTTATCATGTCCATCCATATCCTTGGCATGTCCTACTATGTTGGAGGAAGGCTTGAGATTACCATCAATATTCAAGTGACACGTATAGTGCATACTTTTTAGGGGAAAATGGTAATATCCAGATCTGGGCACTTAACACAATGTCATGAACAATCTAAAACCACTCCTGGGTTGCAACCATTTATCATAGATTTTTCAGGGATTTTCAGAAATATTTTGAAAATACTTGCCGCAAATAACTGATAAAAAATTTCATAATTATTTCTGATTAAGCTATTTTACCATCACAAAAGATGTAATTTAAAGTTGTATTACACTATAAAATCTGATCAATAAACTCTTTTGATAGTACAGTAGGCCTTCTTTTTGGTTTTAAAAACAGCAATTGGGAAAATAAACTGAAGTATAGCATGGTAATTAAATACTCTGAGAAAGAAAATGCTGTCCTAAGGTAAAATTGTGCTGAGATATTCATTCTAGGCTGTTTGCAAAAACGGCATGGAGAAAGTCCAAACGTTTGCCAGTTTTGTGAACTGCAAAGGTCAAAGTTGCAGGATACTATTCACCGACAGAAACTCACAGGGGCACTTATTGATGAACCAACAATGATGCAAGTTTGAGTTTTAAAATGAAAAATTTAGGGACTCAAAACTGTCAAATACTTTATATTAATATTTTCTTTTAAAACAAAGAAAAACTGAAATCACACTTGCAAGTGATTGGTGTGTTTACATCTCCCCAGCTTGACATCCCCCCTCCTGCCAAAGAAAATAAAAATTAAAACTCTCAATATTATTGTTTAGGTCACCTGACAATTGGTCATGGTGACCTATTGCAATCTGCCTTTGTCTGTCACAATGCGTCGTTAATCGTTAACATTTCAGATTTTCAACTTTTTCTCAAAAACCAATGAATGGAATTTTGACAAACTTGGTCAGAATCATCCTTGGTAGATGAGACTACAAAAGTGTAAAATTGGGATTCCTGCCCAAAACCCAGGGGCCAGGGTATGTAGGGCCCAAAAGGGAAAATTAACAAATATTTCAAAAATCCTCTCCTCCTGATTCAGATGTACTACAATCAAATTCATGGATGGAAAGATCATCAGGTGCATTATCTAAATGGTAAATTTCATTACCCCCAGGCCATCCATTCTACCTTGGGAAGGGGGTAAAGTTGACCATAGTTAATATAGGTAAATAACATTTTTAGGTCACCTGAGACAAAGTCTCAAGTGACCTATTGTGATCGCCTTTTGTCCGTCGTCGTCCGTCGTCCGTCGTGCGTCCATAAACAATTTACATTTTCGACTTCTTCTCCAAAACCCCTGAACCAATTGCAATGAAATTTTGCAGGGACCTTCCATGGACAAAGGTCAACAAAAACTGTTGCCGGTTTAGTCCTACACCCCCAGGGGCCTGAGGGGTGGGGCCAAAAAGGGTTGAATTGACTAAAATTTCAAAAATCTTCTTCTCAAGACCCAGATATGGTAGAATCAAATACTCTTCATAGATGGAAGGGTCTTAAGGTGCTTTACCGAAATTGTGAATTTCTTGACCCTGGGGTCAGAACTTAGTCAGAATCATCTTGGGTGAATGCAAGTATTACTTTGTAAAATTGGGATTCCTGCCCCATCCCCAGGGGCTAGGGCGGGGCCCCAAAGGGAACATTTACCAATATTTTCAAATTCTTATCCATTGATGACATGACAAGTATTGTATTTCACTTAGTTTACATGCTGATTTCCACATCACATCTAAACAATAAAATAAAGCTACCAGTACCTATGATATAACTCAGGTGACCGCTAAGGCCCTTGGGCCTCTTGTT